AATTCATGAATTGGAAGATAGCTTGGGTAGAGACTATAATAACTCAACTAGCCTACCATAGAGTTTTCTCCAATACAGAGTTGGAGATGTATCAACAAACACACAGTCTTGGTACCTCTTTATATTTTCCTTCTACTATACCTAGACTCTTAGTTCCTTCATGTAGTGAGAAGTCATACACTCTGGGACAAAATATTTGTCACAGTAATTCTGACAGAGATAAGTTATTTGTGAAGGATTAAGGTTTCTCTAGGTATATGTAGTAACAGAGGGTTTGTATCTAAATTCCTATAATAGAAAACAATAATAAAAGGAAAAGAATCTAACTAGTAAGACAGTAGGCAGGTATGAGAGGCTGAACAATACCACTCTTCCTGCACACCTACATCTTAATCCCTAGAGCCCAGGACTGTTATTTTATGTGGGTACAAGGCACTAGAGATGTGATTAAGTGAAAATTCTTGAAAGCCAGGTAGGAGGGCTCATGCCTAGGTACTCAGGAGGCTGAGATCTGAGGATCTCAGGTCAAAGCAAGCCTGGGCAGGAAAGTGCGTAAGACTTTTATCTACAATATGCTACTCAGAAAAAGCTGGAAATGACACCGTGATTCAATTGGTAGAATGCTAGCCTTGAGCAGAAGAAGTTCAGTGACAAGGCCTAGGCTCTGAGTTCAAGCCCCAGGACCAGTAAAAAAAAAAAAAAAAAAAAGTCTTGAGAATAGTTTACTCTGGGTGGCCCCTACCTGCAATCACATTGCTTTTGAAGGGAAGGTGAGGAGACAAGGAGAAAGTGACAGAGCAGAGGTAGAAGCTTATATTTATCCTCTTATGAAGAGAGAGAAAGGCCCAAGCCAAAGAACACAGGCAGCCACTGGACACTAAAGAAGGTCCTAGTTCTAGAAGAACCAGTCTTGCTGACACCTTGACCGTAACACAGTGGGACTCTGCAAAAGTGTAAAAGAATAAAGCTATTAAGTCCTAAATTTACAGTAATTTGTGGTAGTAGGAAATTAAACAGAAGCTAAGTAGAACAGGAAGTTTTTGCAAGAGAGCCTTGACAGAGATAAAGGACACTGACACCGGAGCATCAGAACTACTTCCCAGTGAGCAGGAGACACAGGTGATCAGGTTGTGGGAGATGAAGTCAGGTGTGTATAAACCACCCAAGCTGTTTTATTTACAACAACTTACCTTGAACATAAAACAAAGACAGAACCATGTGTGCTGGAAAGGATATGTAAAAACTTGGAATGTGCAAGGGATTTCCCCCTTTCAATGCTGTTAAATAACTCAGCATATATTCATTCATTCATTCATTCAATGTTTATTTATTAAGCCTGAAACCACTATCCAGCACATATAATACGTAGGGGTCATACTATGAACATAAGTCAACACTGAGGCAGGTTTTCCTCATTTGGTAACACGCAGTTAACCTGGATGAAGCTAGGTTTTAAGGAGCTAAGATGTGAAGCCATAATTTTAGGAAAAAGTAAAGAAATGAAAATTATGCAAATAGTGGAGACAGCATGTTTGGCCTATCATATTGGAAAGTGTTTTCCTCTTCTTCTGTTTGTGGAATGGGAGCGATGGGCATGTCTCACACAGGGAGCTGGAACTACAAGAGAAGAAACCTCTGCCAAGGGCATCTGTGCATGTTGAGCAATGTCTTTAAAGTGTGCAAGCAATCCCGGAGCTTAGCAATTTTACGTCAAGGCATTTTCTTTTAAGGAAAAAAAGAGTTCTGGGCAGGGATTAATCTCTAGAAGAACAATAAAAAACTGGAAATCCCCCCAATGTTAAGCTATGGGTGGTGGTTAATTATTGGTACAATGTGCAAGATAATCAAGCATAAGATCACATAATGAGAGTAGATTTAGTATCATCAGAAAGATTGATGATGAGATAACCAAAAGCAGGTTATGAAACCCGGTGTACAGTACAGATGCAGGTACATATACTATAAGGATCTATGCAAACCCAAACTGATGATTTCTTTATGATTTTTATGGATATTCTAAAATAAGTGCATTTTCTGTGTTAAATTATAAAACCTTGATGTTAACCTTTTTCAACTCTCACATCCACTCTTCACTAGTAGAATCTTATGACTAAACCTGAAGCATCTCCAAGGAGCCCTGGACAGTGACCACTGTATCTGAATGATCCAGTTTTGTGCATGGGGAGTTCTGCAGGAACAGCCCCAGCCTGGGACTCATGTCCTATTTCTAGCTATACTGGGTGGCAAGACCTACTTGTTTGTAATCAAGCAAGGTTCTCAGCTCCCGACTTTAACACAAAATCCAAATTCTTCCTTAAATCTTGGACAATTGCAGACATACCCCCATGTTAGAGAATACTGGTTTGTCTCAAGCTTATTCCTTAGTAAAGTGGGCTGCCCAATGCTTTCATACAGAGATTAATGCATGGAAGATACAAGTCAATTTAATGACTTGACTAGTTATTCTTAACCAATTACAAAGCTTTTCTTTCCATCAAAGGAGCCAGCTTCCCTCTGGAACAACACATTCATCAGGCTACTACAGACCCTGACAAAGCCTCCTGATAAAGCCCAGACAAGTCTCAAACTTATGATCTTCCTGTCTAAGCCTCCCAAGTTCTAGCATTGTAGGTATACATCACCATGCCTGGATCCTGTTTCAACATTTAAAATGGCAATTTTGTAAGTGTGAAATGAGAGGGAAGGAAGGGCAGAAAGGGAGGCAGGAAGCCAATGATGCAGCACCTTGGTGACCTCTGCTGACTGCCCTTGTCCTGAGACAGTACAGGCTCTACAAATGCTCTGAAAATCCTTCACAGAGGCTCCTGTGTATAGTGACTATCCAGCCCCACCCCTAGGCCCAAGATGACTTCTATAGATAAAATACTGTCTTCACTCACAAGAAGATGAGGGAAATGAAGACAAATGAAGAATGAAGTTCCTGAATACGTCCAAAACTTTAGTATAACACTAAGCATAAATAACTTTACTAAGTAAAGTCTGGAAAGGTCAGTTCTGGCTGTTTACTTCTTATTCCAGTACTCAATGGATGCCATTCTACATTCCATCAAAGAACAGCATCATGACCTGTAAGAAGAGAGCACTGAAAGGCAGAACAATGACCCCAAAGCAGAAAATTAAAACTCCCGTTTGACACATGAGTCTCAATAACAACCAGAGTACAGCAGGGTGCCCTGCCAACCTTGACTAATGGTAATGGTGCTGACCACACTTGATGATAAAATTATAAACCCTGGAGATTTGTGTTTTCTCTACTATTTCTCCTCCAAGGAACAAAATGACCCTACAGGGAACAGGCCTGGAGTCAGTTCCCTTGCCTTACATAAGAGCAGTCAGAGCCACTGAAGTTATTCTTCTCTACAGCTAAGAGCAGCCTCCACAGAATGTCGGCTTTGGAGAACCAAGTCTTCTTGGGTAATCAGGATAACAGTTACAAAGGAAGGGAAGAAAGAATAAAAAATAAGCGACACAAAATGATGGTGTTAAGGTGGTAGACTAAAGATCAATGGCATTAGAAGAAATCACAGGTGGAAACCCCACAAAATTCACCTTCAGCCTCCACAAAACAGGCCTGGGCAGGGTTTGGTATAATGGCCATAGTTGTCAAGTTCTTTCCTATAGCAGACAGTTAAGAGCAGCACATATTCTTCTGATGATGCTCACAGTGAAAACTGATCATCTCAGAGTAAAACAGTAATGTTCTCATAAAGTACATTCAGAAAAGCCACTTATCACAGATGCTGCTGGCTTTCTGCTGGAAGAAATTGGTGGGAATCTCTATTCTGGGTCAGCAATCCATTGCCACTGATACTGAAATTACTGCTATTAATTACTTGGTTAACTTCACAAGTAATTGTACTGGGGAGGCTTGAGGATAATTCTTGAGCTGTACAAGGACAGAAGAATGAAGTGTAAACATAAATAAGTATAACTAAAGAATGAATATGGGAGTAAAATCACCATGGGATGGGTGGGGAATAACCTCAAACTCATCCCAAATGGAAGCCAGAATTCCAGTGGGTCCAAAGAGAAGGAGAAAGAGTAAATGAGTACCTGCATAATTGACCCAAATTTGAAAGCTTAAAGGGAGCATAAAAGTAAGCTTGAGACAAACTGTCCTTTATATAAAGGCAGATCATTAAATGAGAAGTAATCACTCTTCCTAAGTTATCAGAAGTAAAACAAATAGGAGCATTTATTTGTAGCAGTTTCCAAAGAAGAAATTGAGTGCCACATGATACTGAAAATCATAATAGAAGAAAAGAGTTTCCTACTTTGCAGAGAACTAAGAAATAAAGACCAGAACTGCCCTGCCCGATGCACAAGTAACAAACTAGCACAGGTACTTCTGTTTTGGGTCCATAGTTATTTTGGGCTTTGTGGGGTTTCTTTGGTGCTGGGACTTGAACTCAGGGCCTAAGCTTTTGTGTTCAAGGCTAGCACTCTACCACTTTAAGCCATGGCTCCATTTCCAGCTTTTTGGTAGTTAATTGGAAATAAGTTAATTGGACTTTTCTGCTGGAGCTGGCTTTGAACCATGGTCCTCAGATCTCAGCCTCCTGAGTAGCTAGGATTACAGGTGTGAGCTACCAGTGCTCAGCTATGTCCATGAAGTTCTTGATAGCAAATGAATCAAAGTAATCACTGAGGAATTTTTAAAATCATCATACTACTATAATTTCAAATGTGTGTGTGTGTGTGTGTGTGTATGTGTTGTGATGAAAACGAAGGAGAGAGATGGTTTATCTTCTGGTTTTTATGGAACCTCTTGATGATAAAATTCTAATTCAGATAAAATGTCTCAGTATTCAATATTAAAAAGTTACCCTAGAGTAAACTATTCTCCTGCATTTCTAAATATTCTCATTTAAATCTTATAAACCTTCACTAGTTTGGTACCCAGAGATATTCTACAAGGAGAGGTAAAGGGAGGGGAGAGGAGGGGCGGGACACAAATGAGCACACACTCTCATACATACATGAGCTGCCTGGATGACAGTGAGCCTCCGGGTAACGTCTGCCCATAGCGAGAGTCAGCACATCAGCATGGGCCTCTGTAATTCCCAAGTACTCAGGAAGCAGTGAGATGGTTAGCTGTGGGGGGAGGAGACAAAAAAATGGTAGAAACAAATCACAGACTTGCAATCTTGATTACTTCTTTTTTCATTAAAATGCTAATGATGACCATAAATTTCTAGATAACCATGCTCGTGAATTATTCATGGTCACATGTGAGATGAAGTTGAAGTCTCGCTGTCCCTCAGGCAAGCACAGAACTTGCTGGTGGTCAGCAGGCAGCCACTGGCGTTTATGTGACAGAAGCTCAAGTTCCTGCAAGCCCCTTGGTGAATGCTGGCCCTCCCTAGCCCTCTTAGTCTGGGAGGTCTCACTCATGCTGGGCTGATGCTTCTTCATCTCATTCTTCCTCAGTATCAGAGACAGCACAGGTCTTTGTTGTGACACTTAACTATACCCTATACACATTGCAAATGCTTGAAGGGAATAAACTTTTTTGATAATAGAAAGGCAACACATAAAAGGGATTTAGAAAAGCCTTTGCACTGAAATGTGGCATAAGTATTGAAAGTATACATAAGTGGACAGTCAAGAAATTTCCCTAAACTAAGCACACCAATTCAAAGGAACATCATCTGTACGGCAGAAATCATCTTCATGCTCCCTTCTAAAGGTAATACGTATATATAAACCTTTTTTTTTTTTTTGGTTGGTTGTAGGGCTTGAACTCTGAGCCTTAGTGCTGTCCCTTGGGTGCTCTTCAGCTCAAGGCGAGTGCTCTACTGCTTGAGCCACAGCGCCACTTCCGGTTGTGTAGTGGTTTATTGGAGATAAGAGATTCACGACTGGGCTGGGAAGGTGGCTCAGTAGTAGAGCGCTTGCCTTGCATGCCTGAGGCCCTGGGTTCGATTCCTCAGCACCACATAATCAAAAAGAAAAAAAGCCGGAAGTGGCACTGTGGCTCAAAGGGTAGAGCGCTAGCCTTGAGCTGAAGGTCTCAGTGCCCAGGCCCAGAGGTCAGGTCCCATGACCGGACCCAATTAAAAAAAAAAAGAGAGAGAGAGATTCACGACTTTCCTGCTGGGGCTGGCTGGCTTTGAACCATGATCCTTAGATTTCAGCCTCCTGAGTAGCTAGGATTACATGCGTGAGCCACTGGCATCCAGCTTGTATAAATCACTTTTGCTCATTGGCTGTCATTAAATCTTCATTTAAAAACCATATGCTGAATACATACTAAGTGTCAAATGCTGATCTAAGCACCTGAACTACAAAGATGAATATCACAGTATCCCACGCTCTTAGGAAGATGATGTTGTGGGCTGAGGGCCACAAATGAGCTTTTTAACAGGGCAGCAAGATGAGTATGATGATGAGAGGTGTGTGTCTGTCCAGCAGGGCAGCTAGTTTGGAAATGGAGAGGTCAGAGAAGGTTTCCTAGAGTTGCCTGGTACTTCCTAAAGATGGGTTAGACTGGGTAAGCCAGGTGGGGATAAGACAGCAGAAAAGGCAGAGGTAAGAAAGTACACTCAGCATTCCAGGCCTCTGTCTAGGGAAAAGCCTGCAGTGTAAGGCTAACTTTGGGTCAAGAGTAGGGAAGAGATGAGAAAAATGGCAGGAGGACAGACGAAAGAGTGGGCCTTAGAGAAGTAAATACACAACCCTCTGCTAATGGAGTGTAAAGACAAATCTGGTAATAGTAAGTTCACAGTAAACAGCATTGGGATGCTGAAGGCAACAGACCAAATGACATCACATACTTGAAAATGGTTGGCAAGCCTCTTTGCTGAGAATGGTGACAAGTAAATAGTTTGAAGATACAGATCTTGAAATTCTTAGTCTCTAGTATGTTGTCTAAAAATAAAAGTAGTTCAACCTTGTTTTAAGGTAAGCAAGCAAACAAGCCAGTGTGTGTCAAAACAGAAAAGGATATTTGTGGGATAAACCCACCCACAGTAGAATCTGAGAGTATTAAAAATAGTGTAAGCTGGGCGCCAGTGGCTCATGCCTGTAATCCTAGCTACTCAGGAGGCTGAGATCTGAGGATCGAGGTTCAAAGCCAGCCTGGGCAGGAAAGTCCATGAAATTCTTATCTCCAATAAACTACCAGAAAACCGAAAATGGTGCTGTGGCTCAAGTGGTAGAGCACTCGCCTTGAGCTGAAGAGCTGAGGGACAGCATTCAGGCCCAGAGTGCAAGCCCCAATACTGACAAAAAGAAAAAGAAAGAAAAAGAAAAAACATAGTGTATAAGCCAGGTACCAGTGACTCACGCCTATAAACCAAACTACTGAGGAGGCTGAGATCTGAGAATCTCAGTTCAAAGCCAGTAGAGGCAGACAAAACCTCCAGACTCTTATCTCCAATTACCCAGGAAAAAGCAGGAACTGGAGGCATGGCTAAAGTGGTGCAGTTCCAGTCATTAGCTAAACATCTGCACAAGAGCTTAATGCCAAGTTCACGCCCTAGTACCGGCATCAATACACTGTATGAGCAGAAGAATTAGAATGCTCTTAGGTTTTGAATTAGAATGCTCTTAGGTTTTGAGTGCCAACCTTCCCCAAGGTTAACATATAATTTCATGAACCAAAATCATTGCTTGCCATCCTAGAGACTTCCTGGGCCACTCAGATTCAAAGAACCCAGCCAGTATGACTGACCTAATCAACAAGAAAGGAGACACGGGTATTAAGCAGAAAGTAAGGGAGGATGGAGCTGACAGTGGCACCTGCCTCAGACTTCCTGTCCTGTCACGATACTCTTAAGGCAACAGCTGTATTTACCCACTTCCAGCCCCTGCTTATTTTTTACCTCAGCGTTTGACAAATCTAGAAATGGAGTGGAGTGAGTTAGCTATCATGACAAAAGGAGAAAAGTTTATTGAAACCTAAGGCAATGAAAAAGACCTCAAAAAAGCAGCTTTCACATTTTTCCAGTAGCCTTTGTGATCTCCAAAGCCTTGTAGCTGCCCTCATAGTTTGTCTCGGCTATACAGGAATGAGATCCAGGCCATCTTTGGAACATGATAGCATTTTAGAACCATGTTATCTCCATTGAAGTCAGCCACAATAAAGACTGTACCACAGACAAGTGAAACCCAACTGGGCCATTCATCTTTGTATCCCTGAAACACAGGATTTAGTAAGCAGTCGATAAATGTGGACTAAATCAATAAATCAGTACTGAAGTGAGAAGTTCCTCCAACTAAAAGCTAAGGAGGCCAATTAAATGGTGAGAACAGAAATAGTCTTCCGATGTCTTCCTTTCTTACTCTAATTGATTCAAGGCAAAGCTGTAAAAACACATTCAACTGCATATTGTACACAGAAGAAAAATCTTTATGAATTCAGAAAGAATGCAGTGTTAAGTAGATTTCAGATATTATGAAATTACAAAAAATGATCCTTAAATGGGGAAATAGGTTGGCACGAACATTTTGAGCAAACAAAGAAATAAAATTGAAACCTTTACATTTTTGTTATCCTTCTCTGTGAAAGACAGGACACATCATTATTCCAGCAGCATGGTGCCTCACCTCCCAGACCCTCATTCGCACAGCAACCTGCTTAGCTATAACCCTCAGGAACAACCAGGAAAGCAGTCATAAGATAATCAGGCCTTGCTTCCTTGGAAATTCATCCCCCCGACCCTCACAATCCCCCCTCCCGAGAACAGACTTTGTTTTCCTCCAAATAGGTATGTATTTCTTTTTTTTTTATAGGTATGTATTTCTATCACTCATTCTTTCACTTATTTTAACACTTAAGCTCTAAGTATCACAGATCACACTGAAAACATTTTAAGTATCACACAGTAGCATGCTGTAGTATGTGTCTGGAAATAATTTTAGTTTCCCAGAGTAAGGGATAGTTTATTATTATGCACTGAGTGACATATTTTCTAAACTGTTACAAAGTTAACTTGAGGGCTGGGCATTGGTGGCTCACATCTGTAACCATAACTATTCAAGAAGCTGAGATCAAAGAATCATGGTTTGAAGCCAGCCCAGACAGAAAAGTTTGTTAAGGCTCTTATCTCCAATAAATTACTCAGAAAAAAGCCAGAAGTGGTGCTGTAGCTCAAGTGGTAGAGTGCTAGTCTTGAGCAAAATAAGCTCAGGGACAGCACCAAGACCCAGAGTTCAAGCCCCAGGACCTGCAAAAATTCTGCCCATTTGATCAGCAGTATGTCAAGAGCAATATACATTGAGGACTGATTGATTACAAGGCTGTGGATAAAAATCCAAAGTCTTGCATTTGTAAGTGTTCTACTGAGCTACCAGACTGCCATTCTTTTGTCTACTCTTCAGCATGCAAAGAGACCAAGATAAACAAATCACTATTCTCTTGAATGCAAGCCATGACGGGGAGAAAGGGAATATATTTACCAGTCCACAAAGTGTTTAGTGTGCAGCTTTTTAATTACTATATTTATGGTGCTATCCATAATATATTCACCACCACAAATGCTCTACCAGGTCATTAATCCTCAACAAATACATTAATGCTCCCTCCTCTCCTACAAATGCTTATTATGCTGATGTGGGGCAAAAATGCCGGGAATTCTCTCCAAAATAAACATTTTGTTTCAACAGTTCCACTATGCCGACTATTTTTAAGACATTGTAATATCTCTGCTTAAGTATTTGGTGCTACTAATCTAAAAGATGAATTTGTAAACCAAATTTGTAAAACTAGCTTTGCTTTATACAATAATTTTTTTAACATAAAATGTGGTATAAGCTAGAAAGGAGGTTGCTTATGCTTTTCCATCATTTTATGTCATTAAATTTTAACATTTAGACCATTCTGCTGTTACAATACAGTAAAAACTTTTAAATCTCAAGGAATAAGACACTGAGAAAGATCAAAATTTTCATAATAGTTGAAAGTAAATTAGTCCTCAATGTTAAATCAGTCGATTTAACCAAAGGCAATTAATTCATTTTTCTAAGAGATATATCTTCATTTGATGACACAGGATCATCATTGAGACTATCAATTGTTTGCTCTATTGGAATATGAGAATATGAACTCCAAGGAAAAGTAGCTGGCCCAGCAATAGTAGGCAGGAGTCGAA